AATGATATTATATATTCGTTTTATATGCTATTAATGGCAGAGCATCGTGCAAACCATTTCGATGAATTACTCTACTATTATTTTACTCACTTCACAGAAACTTTGAAAAAAATTGGTTATAATGGACGGATACCAAAACTTATGGAATTACGGGAGCAACTGTTAAGACACAGACATAACGGTAAGATAAGATAATTTAACTAAAAAAGTATAAGTAAGTCTTTTTATATATATAATCTTTTTATCATTCTTTGAGCAGTCCATGCCTTCGAAAATAAATCTGTTAGGTAGTAAATGTAGTTAGAGAAGGTTAAGAATACTATAGCTAACATTATTTAATCTCGGTTGCAATAATGAAAGTTGAACTTAAAATAATGAGTAAATTCCCTTTTAAATATGCAAAAAGAATTGGGTAGTATACCACCTATATTATAAGATAAATATCTGCAAACAGTATAGTAATCTTATTAATTTTAATTGAGATTCAAATAGAACACAAAAATTAATTAAATATAATTATGGGGCTTATTAAACAAATTAAAGATAAGGATTTTTTATACATACGATTCTTTACCTTAATGCAGGAATTGATTTTATTAATACAAAAACTATAGAACAAGTGTTTAGGTTTTATCTTAATCGGACGGATGTGACATCCGAATAGATAAATTTGAGTGATGTTTAGTTTTCAAAATTAGTAATCTAAGATTTATTAAAAATAACTACATCTTCAATAAAAAACCATGTTACAATAATTCATTTAATTTTCTTTTTTAAAGCAATTTATATGCTCACCACTTTCCTGCCGTTTTGGTACGCCTACACTTTAAAAAAAGTGGATCCCGATGAATTGATGAGCGCAAAAGATGATTCGCGTGATGTGTTATATACAAACAAGGATTACATTAAAGAGTTACACACAATTTTACCGAGGTATTTGGAACTTGGCTATCTTGAAAATTAAGATAGTCGAATAAGTCACTTATTCGGTTGAAAGTATGACATTAGGATGTCGTCGATAATTTTGATAAAAAAAAAAAGGAATAAAAATTGTTTTTAATAAGAAAGTGATAAATGATTTTTTTTTATTGTCATTACGTATAGATTTACAACTTAGCGCTACTTTTGTTTTTATTAAAACAATTAGTATTGTACAAAAAAATAAATTTTACTACTAATATATGCAATTTTATTCAGATGCCATAAATAACTGAAATCAAAATTCGGTAGCGCAGAATTAACAACAATGATAACTCTAGGATAACTCTAGGAGTACAAAAATCTTTTTCTCTCTAAGCTTCTAACAACCTGTACGTACCTTTGAAAATTATTCGAAAAATTATATATTATTATTAACATCAAATGTAATTGTTTTATATAAACTGATGCAAATAATAAAAAAGAATTGTCAGTTGTCAATAAAATACTAGTAAATTTGTCGTCCCTTAACAAATTATAAAGGAAAAAATAAAATACAAAATATACACAACCCTGACACATTTACTATGCAACACAGCGACTGCATGCAGTAATGCAGTTTTACACAAAATTTTGTGTAATTTGCATGAATGTGAGGAATATCTACACACAAAGGATGTGTGCAAATCGCAATTGATTGCTATTTAAGTTGATTACAGTCATAAAAACTATAATCAAAATGTGATTTATAAAAAGATTGAATGCAGTTCGCATCAGTGAGTGGCAGTTGTGAA